CCGACCATGTTGAAAAAATACATGCTCTGTGCGGCTCCCCCTGACGGGCTCTCAAACAGCTGCAAAGTGAGTCCCCTCCTCCCCTGTCTCCCCCTCCATCCAGTGTCCCGGGGCCTGACCCTGATGCTGAGCCTTCCCTCACACCTTACCAGCCCCACTTTCCTGGCTCTGTCTACTCAGTTCTCTGCCTGGGTCAGGGTGGGAGCCCACGGGGGCCTGCATGGCCTTGGGGGCGGGCACAAAGCTGAAGGATAGAAACTGGGGGAGGGAATGGGGCTGGGACTATGGGGAGGGCAGTGAGGCTGGCTATGAGCACAAGCTTTAAGGGCAGACCAAAAGCTCAGTGACCAGGAAATATCATATTCCAATGAACTATTTAAAAAATAATCCATGATGAGCAAAGCATCAGAATTTTCAACAAAAAAAGCAACCAGAATGGGCTGGATTTTCCATTTGCCATGGGGTTCCATGTGGTACAGAACAGCACTGTGGTTCAGTAATGATCGGTATTTATCTAAAACTGGAATACCGCCCTAGCGGGTTTGGCTCAGAGGATCGAGCATAGGCCTGCGGACTGAAGGGTCGCAGGTTTGATTCCAGTCAAAGGCCCATGCCCAAGAAGCAGGCTCCATCCCAAGTAGGGGACGTGCAGTAGGCAGCCACTCAATGGTTCTCTCTCATTGATGTTTCTATCGCTCCCTCCCTCTCATTTCTTTTCTGAAACAAAGAAAATATTTTTTAAAAAATTAAACTGGAATACCAGGTTCCTCATGGGTTTTTTCATATTAAATTTGATTTTTAAAATATGCCTTAAAATGTTTGTTGCAGTCACTGAGATGTGCCTGAGGCTCATGCCCTGCTTCTATGTCTGTGTCTCTGGTTCTAATTCTGAAGAAAGAAGGAGCCCCTCCTCTTTGTTCTCCCTTCCTCATCTCCGTAGCCTCCTCTCTGACTCTCAGAACCCTCTCTCCTCATCTCTCCTCACACCTCACTTCTTTTTCTTTTTAATACTTTTATTGATTGCAGAGAGGAAGGGGGAGGGAGAGAGCGATAGACACAACAATGATGAGAGAGAATCATAGATCTGCTGACTCCTGCCCGCCCTCCACTGGGGATCGTGCCTGCAACCGAGGCATGTGCTCTTGACTGGAATTGAACGCAGGGCCCTTCGGTCGACAAGCAGATGCTCTATCCACTGAGCTAAGCAAGCTAGGTCCTCACACCTCATTTCATTTCCTGGTTCCCTCTGTGTTCTCTCTGTGTTGTGATAGCTCTCTCTCTCTCTCTCTCTCTCTCTCTCTCTTTGTCTCTCTCTCTCCCCCTCTTCCTCCCTCCCTCTATCCCTCCCTCTCTCCCCGACCTCAGTCAATTTCTTTTATTTTCTCCATCTCTGCCTCATTCCTTACCCCAAACATTCTGCTTCTCTGTCTCCTTCATCCTTCCCTTTCTTCTTCTCTCCATCCTTCTCTCTCTCTCTTTCATCCTTTGCCTCTTTGTACCCCCACTATCTTTGCTCACATCTGCATCTCAGCTTTCAGGGGTGGTGAAATGATGTGTGTTAGGAAGAGAGGTGATGGGACAGGGTTGAATGTCCCAAAAATGTGGGGTTCCCTCTGGTCCCCCACTGAGGTCTGATTCATAATTCTGCAAACTGTGCCGGGACACAGAGTCGCAAAATCAGGACAGTTGGTTTAACACACCCGCACTTGGTTTAACACACTCACTTTTCTTAAACTTCCTATATTTGAACCTAGTGGTCCGAACTTTTCTTTTGCATTAGAGCCTGTAAATTAGGGCATTGGTCCCGCCCCTGTTTTCCAGGACTACCCTGTCCCCCACCCCTGGAGAAGGCAATGTATAGGATTCCCTGGAGGTAATGCTTCCTCTCCCAGGGGCTTGACAAATAAATGGGGCTCTGACTTCCTTGAAGTCCCACCCTCTCCCAGTGATTGACTAGGGCTCAAGCCAATGTCTTCCAAAAACCTGGTTGGTCCTCTCCTTGAAAGCATTCATTCCTGCTCCGCCATTGGTCCACAGAGACAATGAGTCTCTTCCCATCGGCCAGGTGGAAGGCTGTGTTCTAGCGCGATAAAGGCCTGATAAGCCTGGTGTCTGTGGGACCTCATTGCTGGTTATTTTGAAATCAAAGCTAATCTGCTCTCTCCCCTCCAGGGTGACTCCGGGAGTCCGCTGATTTGCGAAGGTTCCCTGCAAGGCCTGGTGTCCTCCGGCTATTTCCCTTGTATCCTGCCCTTTGAGCCAGTGATATACACCCGCCTATGCATGTACCGCAAATGGGTGTATAAAACCATGAAAGCCAATTCCTAATCTCTCCATGCTTTCATCCTCCATCCCTATGCCCTGAACAGGGCCTTCCCAGAAATAAAGACATCCTTGACTTGCAGCCGTATTTGACTTTATCATTTTCAAAATCATGAAACCGTCAACAACATCCTAATAAACATTTGCAAAAACCCATGAGCTAAACATAAAACACAAAAACGTCGGTGCTGGTGAAGATGCGGGGAGACACCAGCTGTGTTATCCAGCAGAAGTGAAGAACAATTTTTATGACACAAGGTTAACAAGGTGAGTCCACAAGGTTAGGCAAGGTGAGTCCGGAATCTCATTCATCGCTTTTGACCTAGGAATTCTGGTCAATCCGAAACGTGGGCAAGGTTTGAATTCATCACAACATTGTGGGGAGCCGGCACGGCCATGGCATACTCAGCCCCAGGGCGCCTTATGTGCCATGCCAGCTCAGCCTGGGTTAGTGACCCTGAGTGGGGGCGGTGAAAGGCTTAGAAAAGACAGACAAGAGAATGAAAGCTGGGTCTCGGTGGGACGCTGCCCTCTCAGGTGGAGAGAGACAGTCCCAGCACCTACAAGCCGTGTCTTTATTTTATAGCAGATGCCAGGAGGCAATGTAAGGGCGTGGTCAAGATGTTTACAACATTCTCATGGGTTTCAATCCCTCTCCACTACATGCACCTGAACTCTATCAAGCCTGCATCACTCAGGCACGTGGGGCCACGTGTTCGGACCATAGGTTCAAGATCACAACTACAGCAGTTGGCTCTAATTGTGCTGGGAGGGCCCTGCCCTCCAAGCTGGGACTTGCACGTGGCCATGAGAGGACTGTGCCCTCTCCTCAGTCCAAGGCCTGAACTTGTGCAAACACTGTATCTGCGTCCCACACAACACTATTAGCTGTCATAGCAAAACAGTGGAAATGCGGAACCTCTCCCGAATTATTCCATGGTTTATGTCAACAACAAACGGATGTAGGCCAGGAGACTAATGACACTGTTCAGGATAATAATTATGCAGAACTGTGAGTGTCACGTCAGAATGCATATGCTGTCTGTTGTTAAATGCAAAAAAAAGAAACAAAAATCGTATATGTCTGCGATCGTCACCGTGTAAAAAGAAATAGTCACAGAATAAGAGCATGTACCAAACTGCCTGTGGACGGAGTCCTGGGTGCCTCCTTCCTTCCGTGTCCCTTTCTGTGCCCGTGCACCTCTAGCACCTGAGCAATACGATGGGGACCTCTGAGGAGCCGAGGTTGGGGCGAGGAGACCTTCACAGAGGGAGGTGGGAAAGGAAAATGAAACCGATTTTGGAATCTCACCCTGCCTCCTGCTCCCACTGACACAGTGGAGTGTTCCTCTACATTTTCCAGCCCTCAGTTTTCCCCACTCATAGAATGAGAGAGGGAGGGAGGAGAAGAAGAAGAAGAAGAAGAAGAAGAAGAAGAAGAAGAAGAAGAAGAAGAAGAAGAAGAAGAAGAAGAAATAGAAGAAGAAGAAGAAGAAGAAGAAGAAGAAGAAGAAGAAGAAGAAGAAGAAGAAGAAGAAGAAGAAGAAGAAGAAGGAGGAGGAGGAGGAGGAGGAGAGAGGAGGAGGCGGAGGAGGAGGAGGAGGAGGATAAGTAGAAAGGAGGAAGGAGAAGGAGAGGAGAAGAAGAAGGAGAATGAAGAAGGAGTAAAAGAAGAAGAAGAAGAGACAGAAGAAGAAGAAGAGAAGAAGAAGAAGAAGAAAGAGGAGGGGGAGGAGGAGGAGGAGCAGAGAACAGAAATGCCTACTTCACACGTGTGCAAAGGGATATGAGAGCGGTTCTGAGCATGTCACAGATGAAAAACGAGGAGAGAGGGAGCAGGTTTTCAGAAAGGATGGCGCTGGCACATAGACAGGACACCAGAGTCCATCGAGGCCCTGCCATAAGTGAGCACCAGAGTTTGGAGGAAGAGAGAACAGTGGGAGTGGAAACGGGGGTAGGTGGGCTCCTATTCTCAACGTGTGCCTGGAAGGGGCCTCCGGAGGAGGGGAGGGAGGAGTCCCTTGTGTCTCAGAGCCTGGCAAGATCAGCAGGTTCCTGGTACCCTGGGCTCCCTGGGCAATCACCACAGACCCTGCTGACTGAGGGTCTTCTCCAACCAGCTGTGATAGGCAGTTAGGCAGACATGAGCAGAGCAAGGACAACAGGCCGGGCACAGAAGTTCACCAGGGCAGAAAGCCCAGGTTTCTACCAAGGGGCAAAATTGGGAAAACAAGGACCTCACTCTCAGGATAACCCACCCCCTGTCCCCCCAGCACATGGCTGGTCATGTAGTTTTCTTCCCTGGGGATAACATCTAGGCCTCAGCTGTATTTCAGTTCCTGGCCCAGAAAAACAGCAAAACTCAGACAAGTGATGCCATGGCTACCTCAGGACCCCCTGCCCTGGCACTGACCAATCAGTGGAGACCACGACCCTGAAAGAACGCACCTGGAAAGCTGATGAATATTTTATTGAGACCCTCCCCTGAGACCTCCCCAAAGATTCCCACCTGCAAGAGGGAGATAAGTACCCTCTCCTTCTGGGGAGCACACCCCAGACATTCCCTCTCCCATCTTCTTCCCCTATAGGCATTACACTCCTAAACTCTAAGGGAGCCCAGGAGAATTGCAACCAGGAGAGCATCGGGCAGCGGCAGGCTAACCCCCTGAGCCTGTCTCCAATCCCCTCTTTGCCCCCTCTTCCCAGTGAGCCAGAGCGGCCCAACCTGGACTCTCCTGCTGCTTCCATGTTGAGCCCTTCCTTACGTCGCTGTCCTGGCTATGCTTTTGCTGCGGCCAACAAATCCTTTGCTTGCTGTGCTGCACGTTGTTTCTTGATTGAATTCTTTCCTACAAGAAGCTAACAACCGAGGTCTCTTCATCTCCCAGGTCACAGAAAAAATGAAAGCAAACGCTATCTGATTAGGATATTGTTGGCATTTAAAAAACATATTTTATTGATTTTTCACAGAGAGGAAGGGAGAGGGATAGAGAGTTAGAAACATCGATGAGAGAGAAACATGGATCAGCTGCCTCCTTCACACCTCCTACTGGGGATGTGCCCACAACCAAGGTACATGCCCTTGACCGGATTTGAACCTGGGACCCTTGAGTCCGCAGGCCAACGCTCTATCCACTGAGCCAAACCGGTTAGGGCTTGTTGGCATTTTTAATGTCACTTTGACAAATGATAAAGTCCAATAAGGCTGCAAGTCATGGATGTCTTTATTTCTATGAATTTCCTGTTCAGGGCATAGGGTTGGAGAGATTAGCAATTTTTTATTATGGTTTCATATATCCATTTTCTGTACTTGCATACACGCGTGTAGATGATGGGGTCAAAGGGTGGACGACAAGGGAAATAATCCGAGGACACCAGGCCTTGCAGGGAACCTTGGCAAATCAGCGGACTCCCGGAGTCACCCTGGAGAGGAGAGAGCAGATTAGCTTTGGTTTCAAAATAACCAGCAATGAGGTCCCACAGACACCATGCTTATCAAGCCTTTATCCCGCCAAAACATAGCCTTTCACCCTGGCCAATGGGAAGAGACTCATTGTCCCTGCAGACCAATGGCAGAGCAGGAATGAATGCTATCAAGGAGAGGACCAACCAGGTTTTTGGAAGACATTGGCTTGAGTCCTAGTCAATCACAGGAAGGGGGCGGGCTTCCAGGATGTCAGAGCCCCATTTAATTTGTCAAGCCCCTGGGAGAGGAAGCCTTACCTCCAGGCAATCCCATACATTGCCTTACCCTGGGGTGGGGGACAGGGTAGTCCTGGAAACCAGGGGCGGGACCAATGCCCTAATTTACAGGCTCTAGTGCGAAAGAAAAGTTGGGACCACCAGGTTCAAATATAGGAAGTTTAAGAGCAGCGAGTGAGTTCAACAAGTGCGGGACTGTCCCTAGGTTGCGACTCTCTGTTCCGGCACACTTTGCAGAATTATGAATCAGTCCCTCAGTGGGGGACCAGGGGGAACCCCCCATTTTTAGGACATTCAACCCTGTCCCATCACCTCTCTTCCTAACACACACCATTTCATCACCCCTGAAAGCTGAGAGTGCAGATGTCAGCAAAGATAGTGGGGGTACAAAGAGGGAAGAGGCGGGAGAGAGGGGAGGGAAGGGAAGGGAAGGGAAGGGAAGGGAAGGGAAGGGAAGGGAAGGGAAGGGAAGGGAAGGGAAGGGAAGGGAAGGGAAGGGAAGGGAAGGGAAGGAGAATTGTTGGGGATTGGGAAAGATGGAGAAAATAAAAAGATTGACAGAGACAGGAGAGAGAGAGAGAGAGAGAGAGAGAGAGAGAGAGAGAGAGAGAGAGAGAGAGAGATCCCAACACCGAGGAAACCAGGTGTGAAAAGAGGTGTGGGGAGCTGGTTCTGAGAGACAGAGAGGATGTTACAGAGATGAGGAAGGGAGAACAAAGGGGAGGGGGCTCCTTCTTTCTTCAGAATTAGAACGGGATACACAGACATAGAAGCTGGACATGAGCCTCAGGCACATGCGGTGATTGCCTTTTAAAGCACGTTTTAAAAATCAAATTTAAGACGAAAAAAACAAAAAATCCACGAGGAACCTGTTATTCCAGTTTTAGATAAAGACAGGGTCATTACAGTGCTGTTCTGAACCATATAGGAGCCCGAAGCAAATGGAAAATCCAGCCCATTCTGGTTGCTTTTTTTGTTGAAAATTCTGATGCTTTGCTCATCATGCATTATTTTTTTTTTAAATATTTCATTGGAATATGATGTATCCTGGTCCCTGAGCTTCTGGTGTGCCCTTAAAGCAGTGGTTCTCAACCTTCTGGCCCTTTAAATACAGTTCCTCATGTTGTGACCCAACCATAAAGTTATTTTCGTTGCTACTTCATAATGTTGCTACTGTTATGAATCGTCATGTAAATATCTGATATGCAGGATGGTCTTAGGCGACCCCTGTGAAAGGGTCGTTCGGCCACCAAAGGGGTCGCAACCCACAGGTTGAGAACCGCTGCCTTAAAGCTTGTACTTGTAGCCAGTGTCTCACTGCCCTCCCCCTAGTCCCAGCCCCATTTCCCACCCCCAGTTTCTATCCTTCAGCTTTGTGCCCACCCCCAAGGCCACGCAGGCCCCCATGGGCTCCCACCTTGACCCAGGCAGAGAACTGAGTAGACAGAGCCAGGAAAGTGGGGCTGGTAAGGTGTGAGGGAAGGCTCAGCACCAGGGTCAGGCCCCGGGACACTGGATGGAGGGGGACGCAGGGGAGGAGGGGACTCACTTTGCAGGCGAAGGAGGATCTCCTGGGCGGAGCAGCACAGATGGTGAATTTCCTCAACAGGGTCGGGTAAACCTGCTTGCAGTCGTTGTAGGGGATGATCCTGACATTGGAGCACATGAGCTTGGATGGGTTTCTCACTGCTGGGGAAGTGAGCGGGCAGTCAGGGGCTGGGTCCGGTGGACCTGTGGGTGCTGATGTAAAAGAATGGGGACCCTGGCTATTGAAGGAGGGTGGGCGGGGTGACTCCATACTATGGTCCCGAAAAGGTCCCATGGGACTGCTGGTTCTGAGGGAGGAAGGGGCTGGTGTCTGAACTCCTGGGTTTGAGGGTGGGGCGTGCTGAGGCCAGGACTCCTCTGTTTAAGGGAGGAGGCATCTGCAGGCCAATCAAGTGGATGGTCTGGCCCTAACCGGTTTGGCTCAGTGGATAGAGCGTCGGCCTGCGGACTGAAGGGTCCTGGGTTCGATTCCGGTCAAGGGCATGTACCTTGGTTGCGGGCACATCCCCAGTGGGAGGTGTGCAGGAGGCAGCTGACCGATGTTTCTCTCTCATCGATGTTTCTAACTCTCTATTCCTCTCCCTTCCTCTCTGTAAAAAATCGATAAAATATATATTTTTAAGAAATAGTGGTTGGTCTGATGGTGGAGGGGGCTGAGGGCCCGGGCACCTGGGTCTGCATGAGGACGTGGTGGGGCTCTAACCTTGGTCTTGGGGACGGAGGCCTGGGATCCGAGGCTTATGGGACTGGGGGAGGGGTGTCTAGAGGTCAGGGCTCCTGGATCTGGCTGAGGGAGGAGGGGTTTGTGGGTCTGAGATCTTAGGTTTGCTACCTGTATCCTGTGTGTCTTAGACAAAAAGGGAGCCGTGGGCTGGGCTATTCCTGGGCCACAGGGGGCGGCCTTACCTCCATCCATGGTGGTGCTGCCCCAGCCAGCGACGGTACAAGTGGTGCCAGGCTGTTTGCAGCTGGAGGGCACCTTCATGATCCTCACGGTGGGCGAGAGCTTGGCCGGGCTGCTCAGCTTCAGCAGCATGATGTTGTGAACATTTGTGGTTACGTCATACCGGGGGTGGGTGAAGAACTCTGTGGCCCTGATCTTCTGGGCATTTCTATCCACGAGAAGATTAGTGCCTATTTGCACAATGTACTCTCTTGGGAAAAAAAAAAAAAAAGCAACATTGAGCGGGAGACACTGGGATTGAGAAAGAGGGACATAGACCCAGAGTTAGAGGGACAGAAGCCGAGAGAGAGAGAGAGAGAGAGAGAGAGAGAGAGAGAGAGAGAGAGAGAGAGAGATCCCTTTGGCTCGCCTGTCCGGTACCTCGAGTAGCAGTCGGCGACGGTGAGCACCCACTTCTCATGGACCAACACGCCCGCACACAGGAACACATTGTTGTGGTACAGGGCCACCTGCCAGGGATGGGCGCCTCTTGGACATGGAACTCCATTAATGATCCTCTCCCCGGTATCCTGGGCTGGATGGAGACCTGGAAAAAGCGTGGGTAGCAGGCCTCAGGGGATGGATGCCCAGAGACAGTGATGGAGAGACAGACAGACAGAGAGGCGTGGAGAACGGCAGAGGCAGACACGGAGCCCAGGGCAGAGACGGCTGCAGACGGAGATGGAGAGAGACGGAGGGAGGCTCCTCAGAAGCCCAGGGCAGCAGCTGGTCTGGAGGCAGCCCCAGCTTCTGATGAGAGAGACACTGAGGGCGGGAAGCAGCCTGGAGGGCACCCAGAGCCCAGGAGTCAGGAGGAAGCAGGAAGAGAGGGGCCACAGCCCAGGGGTCGGGTCTCCATGGGAGGAGGTTGCTGCAGGGGAGTGTCCTGACCCAGGAGCTCCTTGGAGAAAGGGGGCCTGGAGAGGGGAGGCGGGGGACTGTGAGGCCCAGGGGCAGGGGCAGGACTCCCAGGCTGGTCCTCACCTTCTTCTTCAGCAGATCCCAGGGCGAAGGACAGCAGTAGGAGCAGCAGGGGCTGGAGCAGGGGACCTGCCATGTGCCCTCTCTGAGCCTCTGTGGCTGCCACAGAGGAAGGGCCTCCTGTGCTGGGGCTGGAAAGACAGAGAGTTCAGGAAGCAGGACTCCTGGTCTCCAGGTCCCTTCTCTTTGCTCAGACCCAGGAGCCCCCACCTCCCCGCTCAGACCCAGGAGCCCCAGTCTACACCCACCTGCTCCCTCTAGACCCACAAGTCCAGGCCAGAGACAGCCTGACATGCAGAGCACCTAATGATCGGGCTTTCTGTCCCTCCCCATTTTAATTCTATGTCCCAAGTTCCTTTTAGGTAAAAGACCCAAAACTGAAGACCTCCAGCCCCTCCTTCTCACAACCAGATATTGGGCCTCTACTGCTCTGCCCTCAAGAGCAAGAGTCAGCTGTCCCTCCAGATGCACCTGCCCCACCCCACATGGGATTTCCTCTCACCTGCAGGGGGTCTGGTCTGGTCTGGTCTGGTCTTCAGTCTGGGTTGGGATTCAACGGTGTCCAGCCCTGTGCAGAGTGGTCCTCTTATAGCCACCCGCCCCACTCCAACTCTCAGGGTCCTGGAGTTCAGCGAACCCAGCTCTGGGGTTACCTTACCTGCATTTGCTCTTATCTGGAACCTGGAGGCAGCTAAACCCATATGCCAGCACTCTACCTCCACCCTCATTCCTGAGGCCAGGTCAGGGGCTTGGCTCCAGCAGGTCCCAGCTCCCTGGTGGCATCTACGAAGGGTGTGACCAGGTACTAGCCTTGAGGGGCAGGAGCAGGAGTCAAGGATGGACTGTGCCCTGGGTCCTCCACTGTGGCCACTTTTCTTGCCCTCAGCCCCTCTCAGGGGTGGCCTAGACCTTATCCCGTGACTCTGAGCAGCTTGTGGGAACTTGTCAGGCTGAATCCCAGTCATGTCTTTGAGCCTGAACCCAGCCCTAATATTGGGGTATGGATCTAAAGCGGCGGTTGTCAACCTGTGCGTCACGACCCCTTTGGCGGTCGAACAATCCTTTCACAGGGGTCGCCTAAGAGCACCCTGCATATCAGATACTTACATTACGATTCATCACAGTAGCAACATTACAGTTATGAAGTAGCAACGAAAATAATTTTATGGTTGGGTCACAACATGAGGAACTGTATTTAAAGGGCCAGAAGGTTGAGAACCACGGATCTAAAGAAAGGCTTTCTTAACTTCACCTACTAAATACGTACTGTTTTTCACATAGTCTGTGTTTCATATTGATAGGGAATTTGTGGACTGGAACCCGGATTCTTTGTCCGCCAGAATCGAAGATGAATCAATGGGTATAGCAAAGGTGGAGATTCATTGAAGAACAAGTACAGACTCCCAGGTGGGGAAGGGGAAAGGGTCCCACTGAGTTCCTTTTCCCTGTGGCTTATAAAGACTGCAGATCCTGGTGCCTTGATATCCCCTCTGATTGGTCACTAGTCCCTTAGACTGGTTACTATACTAACTCCTGGGCTCAAAGGTGGAGTCTCACATGGGACATGGGAGGTTCTCTCCCCCTCCTTCCCTATTGTTTTCCTATTCCCTTTGGGCTTTCTGCTCCTCCTTCTGAATGAAGGGATTCCATCTCTTTTTGTAAATATAAACCTTTTGCTGTTCCCAGCTCCCTCATTCTATGGAAATATACGTGTTGCAGCTTTCCAGCTTCCCCTATTCTATGAAAATATGTCTTCTGCTCCTCTTCAGCTCTGTGCTTCCTCCATGACCCCCATAACTTCTAAATTTTCTAGTATTTTCTAAACCTGTCCTATTTTGCCCCCAAAATTCCTGTTTCGATATTATACTTTTGTTTCTATACATACTATATGTATGTAACAAAAAGGTCGGTACTGAACATTATCTAATGGAACCTTTTACTCTGTATATGTCTAGATTATCTTGAATAATTGCTCTTCTTCGTACATTTAAGATCATGTCTCCTTCCTTTGTACTTGTTGTGTAATGTCCTTCACTGTAGTTTTATTCTGGCTTATGCCGTCTGTTTCACATTGAAGTGCCTTTGAATCGCTTTCATTACAATGATGGTGGAATGCATTTCTTCGCATTTTCACCTTTCCTCGTTATGGAACTTCATTCCCGGAGTATCCACTGAGCATTGGCTCTGAGCCAGAATCTGTTCTGGCCTCTGAGGGCACAGCTTCCACAAAACAGCGAAATTCCTCCAAAGGGGCTCTCATTCCAGTAGGTGGAGATTTTGAGTAAAGAAACAAGAACTTCCCATTTATAGGCTGTTGTTGTTTTTACGTGGCAGTGAGTGCTATGGAGAAAAATAAGACCAGAGGAGGCCCAGGGGAATTATTGGTTCCCTTTGATCTCACCAACCCTGCAGTTATAATGTTGGGAAAGGTGGTTGGAAAGACCCCAGGTGAAGAGGACATTCGCACAAAATCTTGTAGGAGGTGGTAGATGGATTCCTGTAGCTACTTGGGAGCAGTGAGTCCTGGGCAGAGTGAAGGGCAGGTGAGAAGAGGAGGGAGACCTAGAATGTTCTAGCAGGGAAGACTTTTTTATTGGAGCTGAACGAATCAGAGGGAGAAGGGTGGGCTGGGCTGTGGGCAGCATTTTGTGCCATGGGGTCTCAGCATCGTCGGCTGCGATTTGGTGGGCTGTTGCTCTGGGGTGGTGGCGAGGCCTGTGTCCTACTTGGGGGAAGCCGAGTGTTGCTTTGCGGGCGCCAGGTCCGCGGTACAGTTCCTTTGGGAATGGCCAGTGCGCGTCAAGACGGCTCCTGTGTTGAGGGTCTGCCCCCTGGTGGTCAGTGTGTGTGATAGTGACCTGTCGGACGGTCAGACACTTAGCATATTAGCCTCACAGGATTTGGATGACACAGGGATTGAGGACCAAGGTAGGACTTTGGCATTTGCATTGAGTAACACAGGAACCATTGTCAGATGACTACTAGATGGCTGATTCCTAACAGTGGAATTGACCCTCACTTCTAACTCAGACCCCCAAATATGCTTCATTCCTTAGTGTGAGCCCATGTGTTATCTCAATTCAGATCTTTAATCCAATTCTACCTCGGTCCCACAAGTTGACCCATCATAGACATTGGTGTTGCCTACCCAGCATGCATTCCTTCTGCCATTTGTCAGAACCTTGATTTTCTTTGGACAACCGGCTGTGCTCAAGTGACCACAAATGAGCTTTACTGCACCAAGGGGGTGTCTTCTGTCCAGGGATTGGTTTATAAATAAACATGTGATACAATGTTGGCCAATGAGGAGGGAGGGGAAGACCCCCGGGTTACTTCAGGGAACTGCTCTCCTCTTCCCAAAGTGAGGCAGGAGAAGAGTTCTCCTCGACTCTGTTAGACAGGGTCCCTTCTGGGTGTAAATTCTGGAAGGGAGGCAGCCCTCCTGGAACTGGGGAGGGAAGTGCCCGGGGGATAGAGCCATAGCTCTGGAGATGGACAAATGGAGACAAAGTGATGGTGATGGGCAGTGTCTTTGATGAGCAGTTGTTGAGCTGGTGAGTTAATGCTCCATGGAGCCCCTTCATCTCATGTCCCCTGCAGGTTTCCTTTCTGATTTAAAGTGTTTTGTTGTGGTGGTTTTTTCAGAGTCAAAGTCATTTTACTAAGACCTCCATGTTGTGTTCAAATTTCATTTCCAGTTTAGAGTTTGATCCCAAGTCATAAATCCCAATCGAATTCTAACTAAAGTCACCATGTGGAATCCAAGTTAACCACCAAAGCCACCCCTACCTCCAGTGGTAGCTCTTCCTCCAGCCCTTTTCCTACAACCTCTTTCCAACCCAATCATTTAGTAAATGATTGGGTTCTCAACCTGTGGGTCACGAACAATGAAAATACATCCTGCATATCAGGTATTTACATGACGATTCATAACAGTAGCAAAATTACAGTGATGAAGTAGCAGCGAAAATAATTTTATGGTTGGGGGTCACCACCACATGAGGAACTGTATTAAAGGGTCACGGCCTTAGGAAGGTTGAGAACCACTGAATTATACACTTAGAGAATACGTATACCAGTAGAGACCAGCGATATATCTGCTGTGCTGGGCGTGGAGGATACAGTGGTGCACAGACCTGGACACAGAGAGTTCCCTCCCTCGAGGAACTGACAGTCAAGTATAAAAGAAAAAATAATCAAGGCATCTATATACAAATGCAAATAGACAAGTTTAATGTGTGCTCTGAAGTAAAGGTGCAAAGGATTGTGAAAGCATTTCCAGGGGGATTTGACCTAAGAAGTAGCAAATAGTGAGCGTGGATAGAAAAATAAGCATAAACTAGGAAAAATGTAAAGGACTTGCAGGGCATCATGTAGAGAAAACAGCAGGTGCAAAGGTCCTGGGGTGGAGGGCGACTACAGACGGAGCTCAAAGAACAGAGGTTGTACAGATCCGGAGAATGAAGGACCTTGTAGGTCGTGGTGAGTTGGACTTTATGTTGTGGGCGATGAAGAACAACTAGGACTTTATTCAGAGGAATCACATATAACATTGGTATTTTCAAAATATCAATCTGGCTGCTCTATGAAGGAGCAGACGCGGAATCACAAAGGGGCCATTTCTTCTGTACAAATGAGAGAGGATGGTGACTAGGATAAGGCCATGTGAGAGATGGAGATGGTAATAAGTAGATGAATTCAAGGTGCACTATGGAGGGAAAATCAACAGGCTGTGGTGATGGGTTAAACAGAAGTTGTGGTAAGGGAGATGGAGATTTCGGGATTTCAAGATCTCTTGCTTGGGGGACATGGTGCCATTCAATGAGAAGACACGGTCAGATCCGATCAAGAGCTCATGAGACAGTGAGAGAGACCACAGTCCCCGATTTCAACTATAATTCCAAATCCAGTCTTTACTTTGAAACAACTCTCATCTCCAATCTTTAAACAAGTCTGAGTCTGAACTTGGAACCTCAATCGTACCTACTCCTAACCTTCAGTACTGCTTCATCCTTGACCAAGTTCACTCTGTACCTCAACGTGGCACCTGTTTCCTCACCAAGCTCCTGACTCCAA